ACTTTGTCAGTATCGGTATTATCCTGGTAGGATCTGAGGTAATAAATATGATTGTGTGAGGTCAGAGAGGGGTTCCTACATAGTAAGCAGCCATGTCAATCATGATAACAATCTCTCTGCTCCCCCTTCTTCTAATCTGTCACATGGAAAGACAATGCTGCTAGTAAAGTCCAAATCCTCTTAAATCCCAACATCAGACTGTAAAATGAAATTGAAGTCATCAAATTAAAGTGAAGGATGCACACAGAGCTGTAGAACACAACATTTTCCACCACTCTGTTAGGTTAGACTGTGCCGTGCCATGGATGATTTACACACAACGATGTCATTAGGTGTAAATGGAGCTTCATTATCGTATGGCTGACAAGGTTTGTATCTGAAAATCGTTTTAGAAAACCCATGTCTGACTTTACTGTAATAAGGCAACATTTTCTGTAGTAGCCATGCTAAAAATCTGGCATCTGAAGGACAGTGGACTCTTTTCCCTATGGATAGTCTATTACAGAGTGACTACCAGGGATATATATGTGTTTCCTTAACCAGCTTTCTATTTCCTGCCCATAGAGCAAAGAGCACAGGTACAGAGGAGATTGTAATGAGAAAGTTTCACTCAGAAAAGCTGAATTATAGAAGTGCTACAGATTACTTCTTATAATTTACATGAGGCACATGGTAATCATAAGTCATATGGTCTGTGGGGCAGTGGGGGTGCAGGGGGGAGTCAACTCAGTGCTCTGTCACTCAGCACTATGTCCACACTAGGAAGAGTCAATTTCGGAAACTCCTCAGTAAAGCAGCTGGCATGGGAGACAGCATTCCAAATAAATGTGCTGTTTTCTCAGGTACTTCTCTTTGGTTGTATAAGCAGGCAAGGGCTTTTGGATGTGCCAGCTCATCCCGATGCTGAGTGGAGAGGCTAGTAATCACCTCCAGAACAGCTGCACAAAGAGAGAGCAATCCAATAGCTGGAATTGTCTCATGGTGCCCTAACAGCACTGCACTGCTCTCTAGAAGACAGTCTTCCTTTCTCTGTAATCACATTTAACAATTAAATCTAGTTCAAGAGTTGAAACCATGAAGAGCTAATTGTCTGCATAACTGTAACATTTCTTGCACTGTGAATATAAACAAAGACAGAAAAACAGACATTTTGAAAGACTTGAGGAAATTCTTCCTAGGTACTTCATTGCACTTTGAACAGGAATAACAAAAATGGGAGAAATGTAATTTGTGAATTTGCACAAATTTCCTCCCTAGAATTCCAAGTGGCTCTCTTGTCAAGCTATGCAACACCTTCCAAAATCTTTGCATATTTTAAAAATATGAAGTAATTTGCTTTTTAACTCTTTCTGGCTAAATGCACTAGCACTACATTCCAGAGCACAGCTCTTCAACCTTATCAGGCAACTGGGAGTGCTTTCTGGAGCAACAGGTAAGAAAAAAAAAAAAAAAAGTTACAGCCCCTTTACCTTCCTGACCAATATATTCTAGGTTCAATGCCATGGATCAATATTACTGTTGAGTTATATTACCTCCTGCATCAAACTCATATGGCTGAGATGCACTGAAAATATTAAAAGGAGAGGGAGGCAATTAATGCAGCAAAAAAAACCCCAAACCTTAAGTAAAACCATTCCACTTTCTGTCACTTTGCTAAAATAAGCTTTTTGGCAGATGCTAATATTCGGAGCTGGCAGCTTGAAATGAGTTTGCGGGAATCAGGTAGCACAAATGGGTGACTCGAAGAGAATATGAAGCTTCCTGTGAGGTTATTTAACATTTTTCTGGTGTCCCAGGTATCCGCAATGGGCCAGAGGAGATACCATCCTTGCCCCTGGAGCATAAAATCAGTGCAGCAAGGTATACAATGGTGTCATACAGAACGTGACTGCCAGGAACAGGATTCTCAGTATCATCGCACAGCACTGTTTTTTTTAGTGCAAAATCCCCAACAAAATCCAGTCCGTGCAGAGATCATTCAAGGGTCAGGAGCAGATGAGTCATGGGCATCTGGGGGGTGACATCATGTAGGTTCTGCTTTTAACTCTCATTGGTTTTGCAGCATACAAAATGTACACATCTTAAGCTAATTTTATCTAACTCTGCTGTAAAAAACCCCTCATGTTGACTGCTCTCTGCAGAGGGCTTTAAAATAAAAGTTATAGCTATTTAACTGTTTTTGCAGCTCAAAGAGTACAACTGAGATCGATCTTGACTAAAGCGTAGTCGTTTGCTGTAACTGCTGACTTCTGAGAATACATGTGCCTATAGGAGCTGTTGTTACATCTCTAGTGGCAATAGCACTTATCTGCAATATTGAGTAGTGCTGGGTTCCCTCCACAAGGTTCTAGTTCTCCTTGCAGTACCCGAAAGTTTGACCAATTATTCAGATACAGAGCCTCGGACTCTATATAGTGTACACAGGATTCTATCTGAGATCAAAACAAATACCAAGGTACTCTTTTGAGCATGCAGCAAAAATCTAAAAATAGGTTTGGACTCCTAAACTTATATGACTCATAGACGGGTACATTAACCATCAACAGCTCTGGCTTTGTTTTCTATAACAACTCCCAGAGAATTAAATATAGATCTAGGAGTCTGCAAGCATGAGCATCATAACTAATTATTATAAGGTAAAGTGTGATGCAAATCTACATCATGCCTACCACCACCAGTAAATGCAAGATGGCTCATCCCTCCCTGAGAGAAGGATGAAGAGCCTCATGCTTACCACAGAGTGAGATAACTCCCAGAGACAAGCACTGCAGTGGAGGTGACGCACAGGCCAGACCCTCCACGACCCTTCCATGACTTATCTGAGCACCCATATCCTACACCAAGTGTCTTGTTTTAGTAAAATATGAACCATGAGATCTACTTCCAGGTGACCTTTCAAATCCCTCTCAGAAAGGGCAGGATTGGCCTCTGAGAGCATTTAACAACATAAGCCGTTGTGTCTCCTGTGTAGCATATTTCCATATTGTCAGTGCAGGATATAGGGAAGAGGAATAGCACTGTCGTACAATACATGTACCTTGCTTCTTACCCATTAATTACTGGTACCAGTCCTAAACTCATTTTATGCAGATAGTGTTTTTATGTGTGATTAACTTGACCTTGATTTTATTAAATTCGGAAATATGACAAAACAGCCTACACCGCTGCTTCTCAGACATGTAAAGTGCCTTAAACATTTACAGCACACTAAATGCTAAATATCATGATGTTAGGCAAAGTGCTATTGGTGCAGTAATTAAAATGGCAGTATTGTAACATTCTTGATGTACCGAAACAATCACTAAAATATTCTTGTTTGTTTCCACATAGTGCAACTAAAACCGACTGGCAACACACAGATGCATCTAGCCCAGTATCTAGAGACTAAAGATAAGTTTTTCTAATTACTTCTGACTTCAAGTTTCTGTACTCGGAAAAGTTTTCCTCACTGTAAAGTAATAAAAACTTATATGCCATGTTAGAGGCTCCAGGTAAGCCTCTGTTACTGCTGTGCAATACAGATGAGAAACGATGAATTTTGCTTAGTAGTCCATTGGAATTCTGCTTACTCTGCTTCACATTAATTTGGATTTAGGTGTGGGAATTTTACAAATGTGATATGACAGCTCAAAATATTACTTTTCCCACATGGACAAATGTCAGGAAAACTATCCATCTGCATTCTGAACAGCACCCAGCTGCACTGTTGCCTCCAATAAGATGGTGTCTGATGTCATTCAAACAAACAGATGCATTCATTTATCTCCCAGGGTGAAACAAGAAATATTTGTAAGTGACAGCATATTTATCACTCTGCTAGTGCTAGTTTCATCCTTGTATCCTATTATTTTTCTCAAACTGTTTAGGTATGCCAATTTGAAACCTTGCTCAATGAACACTTACTTTCCACCCTGTTTAATCCATCCAAATATTACTGGGGTCTTATAAAGGAATTTCCACAAGAATTAAGTAAATGGAGGAAGTACCACGTTATTATTTATTTATTTAAAATCCTAAAGAACACAGCTGTCCTGAACCTGGATCAATAATAATTTTTTAATGAAAATGCAGGTCAGAAACTAGAAACAACTGTCTTCTAAACTAATCTGCCTTACGGATGAGTAAACTCACTAAACTGTTCAACAAATGCTATCATGTTTTCTTTCCACAATGCAAGAAAGGCAAAATGCTTCCCAGCATTCCCAGGAACAAATAAAACACAGTAATTACTTTTTTCTAAACAATTATAAGAGCAATAATACAGTTTTTTTGCATCTTTGACTACCTATATTAAACAATTAACAGTGCACAGTAACCTGAATGTCAAATAAATACTGCAGATTATTCGCTGCTGTTTATGACTGTGCGATGCAATTCTGATTCTCTGCAATGTCCCATTTCATCAGGTTGTATCAAATCATGTTTTGTCAGTGTTTATTAATTCAGCCCAAACCCAGTCACACGACACACACTTCAGTGCACTTAGTATCAGAAAATGCTTTGTGTAATTCCAATTATTTTAAAATGTAAATAGACACATCTGATTACCCAGTGACTTGGGTTTATTGCATTTCAAGCATGTTTTTACTTAAGGTGTTGAGCAGTCTTTTAAAATACTCTTCCCCTTTACTTTTAAATTGCAACCCACAAACTACTGAGGAGTTGATTTCCTCTCTTTGTAAAGAGGAGTGACTTGAGCTAACACTAATGGGAATTATTGAGGCGTACCATTAAAGTTTTAGACAGCTCCAAGCTTCCAACAAGACTAAGACCTACTGCTGTGCTACTTATAGACTATTTTGTGAAAAGTAAAAGCTTAGCAAAGGAACATAGGCAAATTTTCCTTCTATTCTGCTCTAAGTCTCATTTCAGTTGTACATATGGGACAACAAAATATTAAATATGTATATTATGTTTTGTAAGCATAGTTATATCCAGAAAAATGGGGAACAAGTGGAAGGAAGAGGATGAAGAGCAAAAAATAAAGTTAGCTGGTTTACCTGATACTGTACAACACTTTTCCAGTTTTAGAAATCCTCAATAACTTGTTGTCTGTCGTGACGTCATGAAAGTTTGCTCCCTTCTCATTAGCAAAGAATAAATCCGGCTTCCAAATAGAGTCCAACATAGAGGGATCCAAATCCAAAGAATCATCAGGATATTCACTGTAAGCCAGACGTGAGTCATTCCACTGCTGTCTCAAAAAAATGTTCACTCTGTAGTCCTACAGAAATGCCATGTGAAAAGGTTACTAAGCCACTTACCAAAACTAGAAGCCCACTTTAGCTTTCTTCATGTTCTTAGACTTACTACAGTACCAGAATTACAGCAAACATTTTTTTAATCCTTTGAACATCAAGAGTTGTCATTTGAAAATAAAGCAGTCTAAATGTTGTATTGAACCACACAAACACAACTGTTAGATTTTCCAAATCAAAATTACTTCAGTGATGAAAAAATATTAACTGCAACCTCCAATACTAAATATAACCCTCTCTCAAATGCTATGTATTAACTCAGAGGTACTTAGTTAAAAAGCATTGCAGATAGATATACGCAATTTCAACAAAGATTCTATAAAACCACTAATTTAAATAATTGCTTCCAATATGTAAATCAATTATTTCTAGTGTACTCATGAGTAGCTGCTAATTCCAGTGAAGCCAGCTTTGTATAGAAGAAATTGAATCAGCACTTCTTATTTACTGTTTGCATCCTTTTTCTATCTACCATATGTATGTTCCTTCATTTACTCCTCCCTCACTACATTCCACCAAAATTGTTCTAATTGCATTCTTCTGCTCAGTGGTCTGCTAGCCACAACTGGGAAAGGCAGCAATTACTTAGAGGTTCATTTAGAACCTACATTAATGCTGTGTCAAGAACTGACTATTAAAGGGGAGTATGAAAAGAGCTTTCAGGGTCTAAACTCTCCAGAGGGAAAGGAAAGATGCTAACGCTTATTCTCTTTATCCTGAATTTCCAAAGTCAGCAAATAAGAGCTTTGTCTCCCCCAGCTTTCCCTGCTATTATAAGCGTATTTACCTGAAATTACTACATTTAACTTGGTATGAACAGTCTCTTAGAAATACATCTACTCTTCCTCTAAAAGGAATATATTTAATAATATTTATATAAATTATATTAACTGAAGGAACATGTTATCAAATAATTCTGCCAACTGTACAAACCCATCACATTTAGGATTTGCGTTACGGTAGCCACAGTAGATTAAAATGGCATCACTGTGCTTTTGATTTAGAAAATGTATGAGCTAACCTGTGTTTAGTTAGGCCACTGAACTGCATAATCTGAAGAATTTATCATCCTTGAAATGTAAATAAATATCCTCATACTGATTAGAGGTGCAGAAAGCAGCTTGCCCAGTAGGCAGACTCTGTGAATGAGCCCCTCCAACCTTCAGCATTTCCCACCCTTTGTTCAGTAGGTTGGTGGTAAGGTGTGCTGCTGCCCTGACAGAATATTTCTGACATCCAAACTAATGCCGTTTTTGAACCCAATGGGATGATGCTTTACAATCTCACTAGGATGATGCTTTTTCCTGCTTTCTTTACCATTGTCATTTTGCTGTTGGGTAGATGCAAGTCAAAACAGGAATGTCTACTAATCAGAGCAAGACAGACCTGAGAGAGGTCTCAAGCATAACACATTTATTATAGATACGTGCAAAAGCCTGTATCCGTTTTTCACAAGCCACTATACTTTTTATGGTGCTGTTCTTTCATACCATTGAAGATCAAATAGCTACTTGCAGTTCTCAGTTTATAAAATGTCATCATATCTTGTGAGGATACATTAACCCTAAGCATACTTTCCCTTGTTTCTTGGTCTTAGAAACTAAGAGTGTCTTATAAGTTTATATGGGACAGTTTTAGTTATAAATCCAGGAAAGCACTTGATTTTCATTCTGCAGAAAAGAAGGCAGGGGCTCTCATCAGCAAATGCTGACAAAATAAAATTGCTACAACTAGTTGTCCAACTGCCTTTAATTTTTCTTTGAAATAAGATATACAATGAAGTCTATGGAAAGCAGAGGGATTTTTTTTCCCCCCATGACACAGAAATCATAAATAAGTCAAATCAGTAAATTTTTTAGAAATATCTAAAAATAAATGTACTTTCATCAACTTCATTAGTCAGTGATTTAGATAACAAAAAACAGTCTGAAAAAAATCCTTATTCATAGAAGATCTTGCATAAGATGATATATATTATACCAAAAGCATAAATAATGCCAATAGGATGACACTATTTTTTTTCAATATGTACCTTCATAAATATATCAGAGCCATCACAGTGATACACTTAGAAATGCTTTTTCTCTGCAAGCTTTGTTGTTAGAAGCAAAACAGCACTGAAAACTTTGTTTATGTCTGATAGGCTTTGCATATATATGTGCATAGATACATTAATAAGAAATAAAAATGGAAATATAATATGTACATCACAAAACCATCATTACTTTTTTTTCCTATGCTTGCAGTATAGCCAGTTGAGAGGGATGTGTGTTTACACAGTCAGACCTAATCATGTGCAGAATTTTGAAATTATTTTTCCTGTGCTAACATTGTAACTATCTTCTGAAGAAAAAATCTCCTGAGAACAGTATCACAACATGGAGCTCAGGCAGACTACAGTGTGTATTTTGTGAATTCCTGAGGGTAGAAGTGGGTGGACTGTAGTAATGCACTCCTACACAACCACAAGTACACCTGCTCCATAAATTCTTTCTGACAGCAACACTGCTCTGAACGAGGAGTGTAGACCCGAAGATTCAGTCTCAGTTGCAACACCGATGCCAGCGATAGCTCAAGGCACATCAGGTAAAGAGTTTTCCTCTGTTTTTGAGCCAAACTATCAGAGTAGTGCTAACGTACTAAAGGAACATTCATCTATTTTCAGTAGATTTATCTGAAGATTCAGGGACTCGATCCATTAATATACTTAGTTTGTGTTATAGGAAACAGTCTTTCAGCAAATCCATGGCCACCAGATTCATTGCCCAGAGCTCCAGCAAAGCTCTGGGTCCCTTTGGTCTCAGGCACTGCTGGGGCAGGGGGGCATGGGGGAGCCCTGCTCCCTCTTCAGGGCTACTTTGTGTCTTTGAACCTAGGCTTGTCTTAGATATTAGCCTTTCTTCCGTCTTCCTCCGTCAAATGTCTAAGGCAAGTGTCAGACTTAGCTGGCCTTCCAGGCATAGGCGGGGGTTGCCAAATAGACTACTTTCATACTCTCTAGATCCTAAATATTAATGTTAACTGAAAAGTAGTTGTTTAATGACCTATTTCAAGGACACGTGACAGAAAAGCACTTGGTTACCTATGTACCTAAGCATACAAGGCATCTGCAATGTAGGAATCTCTTATGCGGTTAAAACTACACATGTCAATTAAGCGGTATCATTTGCAACTATGTTTTTTCTAGTGTGAAGATAGCATCATACAGCCAGCCACAGCCAAGCTTTATTGCTCCTAAAATTTTAAAAGAAATGGCAAATTTTTCTGCTAACATTAGTACTCAAAACACAACTGGAGTTTGATGAATTTACCCCAACAGAGAACCTGCTGCATAGTGTCAGTCATTGATTATAGGGCATAACAACAATAATAATGTCCTCACAGTTAGTCATTTCTGTAATTAACAATTAGCTCGTCAATGTACAAACTGCTCTTAGCTTCTCCTACAGCTGATAGCTAAAAAATCCTGATTATTAGCAACACTGAACATCTGAATTCTTTGGGACTCTGCCCAGCCTGATGTAGATTACTCATCTGTGATACTCAACTGCAGTCATGCTGTACAGTGAGTTTTCTGCTGAATACTGCATGTGTGAATGCTTCCAAAAATAGATACAGAGCTTACTGGCATAACTGCTTTATTCAGTGAAGTTAGTCAGGGATGTCTTTTTCTCTCTCTTTTTCAAGTTAGGACTTAAATGAAAGACAAGTGAATTAGTTAAGAAAATTTCCAACAATTCTATCTTGACTCTGGCCTTTTATTTTTACCGTTTCTGTTTTGGTATAATATATATCATTCTAATATGGAATAAAACAATTTGTTTTGGAGAAAAAAAAATCAGTTGTGATACTGTCCCATACATGCATTATAGTGCAGAAAGAAAATACATATGCATTTTGTTTCCCTAGATATTTGGGAACAAAACTTGTGGAGACCCTATGGAATTCATCTGTTTGGAGAGACCCAGCACAAAATCCTGTTTTATTTCTGAATAAAGCTTTCTCTGTTCTAGCTTTCAGAGGAGTATACTGGACGTAAGAGTTGTACTGGCCTTTCACACAGCGATGTATTTCATCCTGGTGTCTGTCCTAACCGGAAAACAGAAGCTGTTCCTGCTAGTGTTATTGAGAACCTGGCTTACTGAATTTACTAGGTCTGGGGCTGTAATCCTGTCTGCCATGTTCATTTCTCCTACTGAAAGCTTCTCTAAACAAGTTTTCATCTTCCAAGTTTCCAATGAGCTGCTGTAGATGGTTCAAGTTATATTCTGGCAACGTCCCTTCAGTACATATACATGGTTTCACTAAGCATTCCTGTCCTTTGAGACAGGAATGTCTCTATTGAATTTACAATCCAGGTTTTAAATGAATCTTTTAGTTTTATGTCAAAACCATCAAGAGCATTTTACAGGGAAAAATGAATCCTAAGAGTCAAACAAAACTCATTATTTATCACAAGGGATGCCCACATTTTTACCACATGGTTACTTCTATTTCAGAAAGGCAAAGTAGATGGAACAATAATTGATGTCTGCCTCTCAGAGCAGTTTCAGAGCATCCTAAAACTAGCCACACTAGTCATTTAAAAAGTGTCAGCATTAAGAAAATCAATATCAAACCATTGAACAGCATCTTAGAGAAATCTTTCCACACTTTCAGCAGATATTATGAACAAAGCAAAATAAGAAAGCCAATAGTCTTTGTTTTCATCTACTCAAATGTTTGGCTGTTTTCAGCAGAATGTGTTAATGAACATTGGAAAGGATGAACATTAACATATTTGATAGAAGGTAAAATGCAATGAGGGGATTTAATCAAAGCAATGAAGGAGTCTAATTAATGCAATCAGCATTAGGTCGTGCAAATATTTTCATTGAATGCCATCTTGTAAAGCCAGTGACGTGCAGGATTTTTGCTACCTAACGCTATGTTGATGCCTCTATATGCTAGGATCAACAGACATGTCTGGGTTAAAAAGGCTACTTTCCTAGCTATCTTCTCAGAATCCTTTGAATATAGGAAAACAAGTTTTACAAAAAACAGAAAATTAAGTCTGTTGACAATTTTGTTACATTTTGTTTTTCCTGTCATTTTTAACTTGATTTTAGTTTTCTTTCATGTTTTTTCTTTTTAGGTTTTTAAAATATTACAGATACATAGTCCAAAGCATTAGCTTATCTGTTTATTTTATAGCTCTGTATGTTATAGCTTGTCGTTTATAGAGAACTCTTTCTCATCCTATTTAAGAAAGCAACCTGCCCCAGCAATAACTTGCCCTTTATCTCTAGAAAACTTTAAATAACAGGTGATTTTCAAAATAGAAATGTTTAGGAGCAGAAGATTTGTGTTCCCACATTCCTTAGGCACCACTTACTAAGATGATGACATGAACTACAATTGAATTTAAATGAAGCATTGGAATATTAAATAAAATATTTAAGTTGTGTTATATGTCTGCTCTTCCTTCATAATGCAAGGATCACAGGGCAGTATCTCTCCCATTTTATAAAAAAAATAGTTTCTTTGGACCTTAAGTCCTTTTCTGAGTAGCAAGTTCATTTTTAGTTACCAAGAACTCAGTCCTACAGAATGCTAACCACCTTTATTGCATCTGGCTTCAGCAAATACAGAAAGACCTGGACACTGTGTAAGAATCCCCAGAAAACAGAGTTGTGAAACTGCATTGCAATTGCTTCGAAAGTGTCCATAGCTGTCCATAGTGTTCTGAGGCAATGAGAATAACTCTTGCAAAATTTAAATGAAGGTAAGAGCATCCGTTTTTAGTTTATTTTGTGGCAGCAGTGACTTGAAGAGTTCAAAGTCAAGCTGGGTTGTGTCACTAGACCTTCTTTAGAATGGGTTTAATCCACTTATGTATACGACCATTTGACAATTATTATGGGTTTATCACGTTAAAATAAGAAAGCCATCAAAAATCTCTCTCTGGACTGACCCCAGTAGCCAGGTGTACCCATGCTTGAATAAATAACTGGTATTTTTTGTTCTTTGTTTGAAAAAGAAGATTTAAAACCTTGGCATCTTTTTAAATGGTCTAAGAAAAAAATATGTTTCACTTTTCTTAGCAAATATTGAAAAAAATTCACCTCTAGAATAAAAAAAAAAGTTGAACTAAAATTTTCCTGTCTATTTTTTTTTTGTTTGACTTTGTTAATCCTAAATTTTGGCAGTTTTCAAGAGAAAAATAACATTTTGAAATGGAAAATTAAACTATTTATTATGTATATCAAAGTTAAAACTCTGACATTTTCATTTTGGCCTTTTTTTTGACTGATAGTGTTCTTTGAATTCAGTCAAAATACACATTTCAGTCAGCTGGGATCCCATAATTTCCTAGTACTAATTTAACCCTCAGAATATCCAGATCTCCCTATAGCTTTATATTTTAGTCATTTAACTCATGTTATGCATTCACTTCAGTTACTGATGTGGCTGCAATTCACAGAGATTTAGCTAAGTTAAACAAGACTATTCTGGTAGCTATGTCAACACAGTCTGCAGCAGCAGATAATTCAGTATGTGGTGTAAGACCCACTCAAAATATGGAGTACTTGGCAGGGAGCCCCACAGCTGAGCTCCAGCCATTCCTCTGCCTCTTCAGTGCTAATAAAACCTGAGAAAGATGGTTTGCACATACCTATATTTGCTGCCCTCACAGTTACTACAGACTATGGTGCACTCACTGCATATGTACATTTAGACTTGGTAATTGAGTTTAATAACTTATATATCTCTTTATATAGTTATTTTCTATTTATTTTATTTTAATTCAGCTAGCAGGTTTTTAGTAGCTTAGTAACTTAGTAGATGCCCCCATGCCCTGAGCATCTTTATCCTATATCACATCCCACTCCTTCACAAGATGGCTTCAATGACCAGTCCCACTCACCATTGTAGTTTCTGCTATTGAACCAAAGCTGTTGATAAATATGTTGCAGGTAACATTTACAGGAGGACCTGCAAGTTGAACAATAAATAGAAAAATTGACAGGTTGTGTTCATGACATATATTAAGTATTGTTGTTCTCTTGCCAATGACATCATAGCACTTACCATTGTGGTTTCTGTGACTGATCCAAAACTGTTGATAAAAATATTGCAAGTAACGTTTACTGGAGGACCTGTGGAATGCAATAAAAATGTTGCAATATACATTGAAACAAAAGTACAGATCCCTCAGCCTCCATACAATCTGGTACAGATGTGGCTGAAAACAAGTAGGAAGTGAGTTTTCCCGAACAGATCATGTAAATATAAATAAAAACATTATCAATACTAATTTAAATAACCTACTTTCAGTGGAAGTTTTTATATAAATACCCAGAGCTACATCCTCCCATTTAAGGATTTATGAGAAAATCTGCTTCTTTATCCACAGTACCAGCACATAATACACTTTAGGATTGCAACCACTCCTCTCTCCCTTCCTTCTCAGATTTAAAATTAAAATATTATCTCACCTCACCTATTCCACTCTGTATGCAAAGGTTTGCCACTGAAATTTCCAGCAAGTGCCACTTTTCACATTGACTCCAGTACAGTGACAAAGGACTTAGACAAGCATCTCTTCATGCACCTGATCTGGAGATGTCTGCCTTGCCATAAACAAATATTTTAGCAATATCTGTTCTGGTTTGACACAGCTTTTGTTAAACAGCTATTTGTAATCTCTTCCCTTCCACCTCCTCTCATGCTTCTCAACAGTCACTGACATGTAGCACAATGAATGGGGACTTAATATTTAGTTAGTTGTCTATTAGCCTCCTATTTTTTTTATGTGAGATGAAATGAACAGAGGTTCTCAACTGAATCAAAAAAAAGATTAATGCCAAATGCCTGAATTTCAGTGACAAGAAAGCTGATACAAGAATTGAATATCAAGTACTTTCTTCTCTCTTGCTATTGTTTTTAATCACATAATTTTCCTTATTTTAAAAAAAAGTGTCAGTACACAGAATGTAAATACCTATATTGGGCTTCATATTTAGATCTGAAATTGTTTTACAAAAGATGGAAATGTTATTACTTTCTTTTTTTGAAAAATTGAAAGATAAAGTAAGGTGCCCAGTGAAACCCAGTACAGTATCTGCTTCCTGAGTGCTAGACCACCCACCTTCGACGAAACAAACGTGTTGCTTTTGGGAACAAAAAAATCACAACAGTAACATGTTTTGAGGCTGTTAAATTTCAGTTAAGTGGAATTTTAAGTTAATTCAGTTTTTGTAAAAATTGTTTTTAAAAAAAACACTTCCTTTTTATCTTTTAAATGTGTTTACACTTTCAACATCAAAGTAAAACAAGCCAAACAGTTTGCTATTCTCCCTCCATGGTATCATTTTTTTCCTTTTTACTTGATGATATTTCTACTAGCTGGGCAGCCTGACCAACCTATTTCTCTGCATCTAAACAAACAGAATCACTGAATTGGAAGGAACGTGTGGAGATCACCCAGTCCCACTAGTCCATCTATTCCTAGAGTAGGGTCAGCTAGAACAGGTTTCTCAGGACCTTCACAGCTTCATGGAGACTCCACAGCTTCTCTGGACAACCTGTGTCATTGCTCAGTCACTCTCACAGTAAAAGGCTTTTTCTTGTGTTTAAGGTTGAGTGTCTTGTGTTTCAGTTTGTGCCCATTACATCTTGTCTTTTGGGCACCACTGAGAAGAATCTGGCCCCATCTTCTTTACTTATCCCCCATCGATTATTTATGCACATGGATAAAATCCCCCAAACCTTCTCTTCTCCAGCCTGAGCAGCCTCAGCAATCTCAGCCTTTTCTTCTATGATAGATCCTCCAGTCCTTTAATCACCTTCATGACCCTTTGCTGGGCCCATACAAGTAAGTCCATGTCTCTCTTGTACTGTGAAGCCCAGAGCTGGACCCAGCACTCCAGATGTCTGTCACCAGGGCACATATCTGTGCTAAGCAGAGAAGAAGGTTCCATTCCCTCAACCTGCTGGCAATGCTCTGCCTAATGCAGGCCAGGAGTTTGCCTTCTTGCTGCAAAGGCATATTGCCGGTTCATGTTAAACTTGGTGTACACCAGGAACCCCACGGCCTTTTATGCAAAGCTGGTCATCTCTCAGATTGTTCCTCCCCAGGTGCAGGACTGCATTTCCGCTTGCTGAACATGGTGAGGCTCTTGTTGGGCCATTTCTGAAGCCTATCCCAGTCTCTCTGAATGGGACCACAACCCTCTGGAGCATCAACCATTCCTCCCAGTCTTGTATCTCCTGCAAACTTGTTGAGGGTGCACTCTGTCCCATTATCCAGGGAATTTGTGAAGACGTTAAACAGTATTGGCCAGTATGGACCCCTGCAGTACACCAGCAGTGACTGGCCTCCAGCTGAACTTTGTGCTGCCGATCACAACCCTTTGAGCACAGCAATTCATCCAGTTTTCCATGTACCTCAGTGTCCATTTAGCTAGTCCGTTCTAATAGTTTATGTATAAGGATGTTGTGAGAGACAGTGCTAAAAGCCTTGCTAAAGCTGAGATGAATAACATCCATGAAGACAGCTAAATCATTGTAGAAGTCTATCAGCGTGGTCAGGAATTATTGCCCTTTCATAACTCCATGCTGACTGTCCCCAGTCATGTTCCTGACCTTCAGATCTGAACGTGGTTTAAGGGATGATTTGCTCCAGGCTTCAAGGTAGGACTGGCCAGTCTGTAGTTCCTGGATCCTCCTCCTTGTCCTTCTTGAAGATAGGAGTGACTTTTTTTTTTTTTTCCACATGATGAGAAACCTCCTCCAGTCGCCATGACCTTTCAAAAATAATTAAGAATGGTCTCACAATGCCATCAGCCAGCTCCCTCAGCACTTACGGGTGCTTCCTGTGTGGTCCCATGGACTCAACATATCCAGTTTGCCTAAATGCTCTGTAGCCTGATTCTTCTCCACTGAGTTTTCCTTGACCTGGACTTTCCCACAGGTCTCAGGGGCGTCTTATCAGTAAAGACTGAGGTGAAAGGGGCATTGCCCCATGCTCTTTGTCAACTTTTATTTAATCTCATGGTGTTGTCTTGCAAAAGTTGCCATATGTGAGCACCACAGCTTTCAATTCCCGAATGCCAGCAGAACCTAGTAAACGTGCTTACCTATGCTAGGAAATATGCTACAGCACTACAGTCTACAGTTCAGATGTACACTAAGTAGATGCATGCTAGAGCACTGTATCTTACAACCAGATAAATATCTCCCTCCATTTCTCTACTTAATTGTATAACATCTTTCACTTGCCTTCTGTTGGTCAATGTGGAATAGTATAAGCACTGAGTAGACCCAAGTACTGCCAGCAAAACTAGTCACGTTCTCTTCATCCTTAGAGTTTTCTGGAAGGAGCTTTATCAGTGAGATGTCACCAATTCAATTTTTTTCTGATCATTTATATTTGTTTATAAACATCAAAAGTATAATGCAAGATTTGCAACCAAATGAGAACAGAAGATACTTATCAGAGGAACTTAAAAATGACATTTGATCATGTAATTTACAGATTCTAAGGTGAAAGTCCAACTTTCTCTTAAAGTCGATCTGCTAGTGATGGGTTTTCTAAACGTGTATAGAAATTTTCTTTTTCTGAATATGTATTTAGGAGGAAACAGGAGCCAAATGAAGTAAAGAAAAAAAAAAAAAAAAAAAAAAAAAAAAAAAAGATGGCTAACTGAGCACTGAAGTTTGCAATGCTTTTATTCTTTTTTTATTAATTTTTTTTCTGCTGTTGATATTATTCCAGTGGAAAGGGGGTGTATAGATGTTGTACATCTTAAGGAAGAAGTTCACTTTAAAGAGGGCACACAACATCACTTTTTCCAATTAAACATTTCAGACACTCCATGCTGTAAGATTTTTCTAATCTAATAGTTTGTTTAAAATGAAAGCAGCAAACTTCTATGAAGTATAGCCAAGGTTTGAGAACATAAGCTGAAACTCTTCAAAGGCAATGGAAACATTTAATTTTACTTTACTACCTAAAACCTAAAAAGAGTTGACATTGCCTCTAAAAAATTAAGCAAAGTATACTTTACAATAAAATCTTTCCCTTCCCCCTAATTTTTCTTTTGTCACCTCTAATTCAACAAGGTAACAGTCCAGGTGCATTTCAGGCATGTTCAATATAAGCAAAATGATTTTTGAGTCATATGGAAAATGTCTGTTTCTTGAAAAGGCTCAGACAAAAAAAAAAAAAAAAAAAAAAAAAAAGAAACCCAAAACAGGTAGCTAATGCTCAAATCCACCTGAAAGTAGAAGCCTGGTATTCTGACAAACAGCTAAGATATCACTTCTGTTCCCTGAAGCTCCCATGCCCCTGCTTCCCCAGAAGGTGTGCTGCTGCTGCCAGTTGACAGGACTCTCCAGTACACTGCCTTCTTGAAAAGCCCTGACATTATAACGTGTCATACACCTCCTGTGACTTCGGGGTACTTAACACTTACAGAAAGTCCTCAGCACTCATCTGCTCACCTTACTCACAAGACACCTGAATGTACTGAATATTCCCCTGAATTTGCTGTGACATATTGCCTCATAGCTCCTGTACCAAAGGTGGCTGTGACCTTGCCACTGTCCGCGATTCTTGTCAGCTGCCAGAGGGGCTGAATCCATCCCAATGCATGAGGTGTCCCCATGTTGAGTGACGAGTGTTGCAAGCTGTATGCTCAGCCCTGTCCAGCTCTTAACTGCAGATTTGCTGAATATTCTCCAGTATTGATAGTACATTGCCTCGAAGCTTCCTTCATTTGATAGGTTCTTGAGAAGGCTTTCTTGTACTCTTGCCCTACAGATCATCCCAGCTGCAACTAATCATATCTGCATTCTCACATCCATCCCAACTCTGCCTTTTTGGGGTACAGTTTCCAGGCTGCACCTGGCAGCCTTTTTCTTTTCACATTAATTTCAGCCATATAGCTAAAATGTTCTTAGTGGGAATATTATAATCATACAAGTGATTT